TTTTGTGTCTGGCTTATTTCACTTTGCATCATGCCTTCAAGGTTCATCCATGTTGCTGCCTGTGTCAGGATTTCCTTCCTTTCTTAAGGCTGAGCAATATTTCATTGTATGTATATACCACATTTGATTCATGCATTCATCCATGGACTTTTGGGGTGTTTTGCCTTTGGAGTAAAAAGAGTTGGAGAAGTTCGCAGGGAAAGGGAGAAACCCAGAGCAGAATAGGAATGTAATCCACTCTCTCCTTTTACATAAAAATGTGGAAATTGTAGTCTATGGAAAGTCTGAATGGCTCAAAGTCAAAAAGAATTCAAGTCTTCTGACCTTCAGACTGCTTTTTCTTCTAGTCCCGTGTTTACCCCCAAGCTGGTCTGAATTCAGTGGAATTCCCTGACCGAGGAGGAATATGGGTGGGGCAGATGAACAGATCCTGGAGGTCTGAGCGAGGCTGGAATCCCACAGCATGACGCCACACCAGCACAGAAATGGAGCCCGAGAAGCTCCAGGCAAAACTGTCAAAGCTCTTTTGGGTCCCACCTCACTGGGTCATTGATCTTTTCTTCCTTTCTACCTTTGCTGTTCACGGTCTCTTAGCCATCTTGTTCCCTTTCTTCATCTCAGCAGGATAAAACCCATCTCTGTTGACCAGGTGAAAGATTATTTAGGTGTTAACTTAAAGCACCATCTGTGCCCCTCCCAGGAGATTTACATTTTAAGGGGCAGCTTTAGAAAATTGAAAATTTTAGGAGCCAAGAGAATGGGGCTGTAACAGTGGAATGGCAGGGGGGTGAGAGTGCTGTATTCAAGGCGGGAGTCACCTCCTCTGCTTGCTGGTGGGGTTAGAAGGTTGCAGAGAAAGGTGGATGGGAAAGTGTCTGCCCAGCTACCCATTCCTCGAAAGAATGGAGGCTCACTCACAGACGCATTAGGGCTTTGCTTTTTTTCTTTCTCAAAATGTGATTTTAGCTTCCTTGAGAAAAAATGCATCTTGTGTTTCTTCTGCCATCCATACAGTGTGCATTGTCCCTTTCTGCACATGGTAAGTTCTCAGTCAAACCTGGGAGGACGATTAACCACTGGCCAAATATTTCAGACTTGCTTGAAGGAGCCAGGAATAATAGAAGGGCTTTTGTTGCTACTTTATCCTTCAGATTTATCATGAGTCAATAATACGTAAATATTGTCATTGAAGAACATCTTCCTCTTTTAACCTTTGACAGTGAGCACTGAAGCAAGTATGCTTCATTATTTGCCTTATTTTTCTTTATCCATTTTTATTAATGTCACACACACACACACCTTGCTCTTGTATAATATGTAGAGCATAACAAAATCCAGACTGTACCAGAATCCTCTTAAACTTACTCCAATAGTTATTTTTTATATAGAGTCCCCCAGTTTCCTCTAATATCAGGATTACCCATGAATAAATGCCAGTACATAATCCCTACTTAGGGAATCAGTTTATGAAAAAGTAATTTTATTTTCTTCTTAGATTTTTTTCATTGTGTGTGTGATTTCTGTGAAAACCAAATGTCTCCAGGTCCAAAGCATAATGTATAGAACAGTAAGGGTAACTACTATTTGGCCAGTATTTTAAGATTGGTGGTATACATTATCCTCATTTGATTCTCACATCAGCAGTGTGAGCTGGTCAGGATGGTAAACAGTTGCTAATTTATAATGTGGAAACTCTCAGACATAACTGGCAGAAGGCATAAAACTAGCTGATTTGGACCTGAGTCTTAATTCCAAATCCCAACCTTTCCCCACTATATTATGTGCTAGTCATCACTATCTGCATATCTCTGCTAGATTGGCAGTTTATTCTCAATGCCCAGTTAACTTGAAATCTCTGCTAAAACCAACAAATGTAGCAAATGGCAATCTTAGATCTCATCTTAAATGTGTGTTTCTTTCAAGTGGTCGCCTAATCAGGTTTTCCATGCTCAAATAAGGCTGAAATGTATTTCATTGTAGATACACTCTTAAAATGGGCTATTTTTAAAAAAATGTTTCACTATAAACACTTTTAAATGTCATTTACCACGCCACAAAATTTGGAAATAAAATTTTAAAAAAGGTTTAAAACCGAAAAATGCAGCTAGCCAACATGTCAGTAAAGTGTACTTATAGGACTTTTACCAAATCAGTGCCTAAAATGTTTTCTTAAACTCAAAATTATGCAAGCCTACTATAAGCTCTTTGGGATTTACTTTTCCCCTATCATTTGTTTACAATAATCACTTGGTTTGTCCTGTAAACAGATATGATACATAACTGGGAGAATACTTACCTACAGAAATAGTAAATAATTATAATGCATATTTTTTTCTGCTTCAAATATTTTAAATACATTACTTGCTTTTACCTTTATATAATCTCATTTATTTTTTGCTTATTTTACTAAAGAAACTTTCTCTTCTTTTAAAAAGTTTTATTTCTTACTAAATTATACTCCCTTCCACCAAAGTGTAACAAAGTCAACAGGCTAGTTGTACAGTAATGAGAAAACCAACAAGGATCTCCTTCAGAGTAAGGCTGAAGGGAAACAATTTGTAGTAGTTAAGATTTATTCCCTTATCCTCCCCTCCAAATATTACATCTCTCAACAAAGAATTCTTGTTTAACTTTATTGAAAGTGTGTAGCAGGGTGGTGTTTAGAAATACTACCAATCTAAATGTACATATGTAGCATTGCTAGCTCTGAGTGAGCACAAGGAAAATGAGAATTTCAGTTTGTTACCATGACATCTCCTAAACAAAAGAAAAATATTAAGAGTACAGGATTTTTTTTTTTAAGTCAGTATCAGGACAATTCGTTAACATATTGATAATTGCTGTTCTAAAAATTAATAATAAGAATCAAGGATCAGAACTCTTACCATGATACTCTTTCCTTCCACTATCATTACTGGGGCATTAGTTTCAGCTCAGTTTTAAAATTTCAGAGCCTGGGCTTAAAATGAACATTTCTGCCCATTAGCATTAAACAGGGAGCCACTGTTCCAGAATTTCACTTCACAAACCACACACAGTATTGCTGCTAAAGGAGATTTATAGTTAATTGTGACAAAAACGTCCAAATGGTTTAAGTAAAATTTATTATACCTTTTTTTAAAAAAAAAAAATTGGTTCTTAATAGAGAAACTTATTAAGAGAGGAGCATTCAAAACTGAAAAACACAGCAATATAAAATAAATCTATCAGTAGATACCTAAGGCTACCCTGATTTTTGTTTTCCTGAGCCGATCACTGTGTATTCTTAAAGGGTAATTGGGCTCCGACCAGTATTGCCGAGGACCATCCTGGGAACTGGGAACAATGGTGAGCAGGATGCGGCTCCCGTTCTGAAGAGCTGCTGTGGGATGTAACACTCAGGCGGCACAACAGGCGACCGCAGCGTAGGGCGATGGGTGCACCGTGGACGTAGGGATGCAACTGGTCCCTCACTTTGGGGATAGGAGGTGAGGGAAGGGAAGGAAGCCACCTCTTCAGAAAGAAGGAGACCGGCGAGTGTTGCAGAAGCTAGAGGACTCTCTCGCCTTGGAGAACTGAAAGCAATTCAGGTAGGCTGTAACTCGGGGAAGGGTGGGAGGAGGGGCCGGTCGTAAACGATCCTGCTGGGGACCGGGACGGAAACAGGATTAGGAGGGCCTTACAAAGCGAATTTAAGGAGATAGGGCTTATCCTGAGGGCAACGGAGATAGTCTAAGAGATTTTAAACGGGAATAACACGATCGCATTTACTTTCCAAAAAAGTATACCTCTCCGGTTGCAGTGTCGAGATGGGGGTGGGGCGAAGCCCGAGGCCAAAAGACCAGTAAGCAGAAAACTACGGTAGTCCAGGTGGAGGACGCTCGTGGCCTGTACAGAGGAAGTCAGCGCGTGGCAGGAGCGACAACCAGACGACCAGAAGGACGGAAGTAAAACGGATCCTGGGGCTTCATGACTGCGGGATGGGGTTGGGAGCTGATGTCCAAGCTGTAGTGAGGCAGTTGCTGGGGTGGGAGACTCGGGCAGTTTGGAGGGAAGGTGCGGAGCTCCGTTTAGGACACACAGGTTGTCAGATTTCTGTGGCACCCAAGTTAGATATGCCCGGATCTCAGAACAGGGCGGTCTGGAAGCAGGATGGCCCTCTGCGAGTGGACCGAACACCATCCGGAGAGCGCACAGAGAAGACGGCCCAGGACCGCGCCCCAGGGAACTCCACCCACGCAACTGGACAATGCTTATATCCCACTTTTCATCAAATATACGCTGAATTACAAAACACGCTGCGAGATCAGTAGGGGGAGTTCATTGCTCTAATTTTTTTCAGGGGAGAAAAACGAGGCTTTAGTGTAAGGCTTGTTCATGATCACCTGACGGTGAGTCTTGCCTTTCCGTCTCCCAACCAACAGAGCCCCTACTCTGCCCTAAAAATTAACACAATGTATCCGATTGCTGAAACATATTCTTTCTCAAAATTTCGGTAGAGTGCATCAAGAAATACGATTTTTCTTTTTAAATGCCTTTTGTTCCTTTTCTCCCAACCCTCATGAAATACTGTGATCAACTTTGTTTTAACAAATACCACCAGATACTAAAAATATGTTTAAAAAAATTCGGATAGAGGAAAATTTTAAGAACCTATCTCCACCAGTAAGCTCACAACTTCTTCAAGTTCTCTGAGCTGCATAAATAAACCTTGACAGATTCTGGCTTTACGCTTATTAACTCGGCAAGTCCATCCCCAGTCCTCCTATCTCGAGGACGTGCCTAATCGCTCCCCCACCCCCCGTCCCTCTCCCTCCTTCCCCCGCCCCCCTCCGGCCGCACCACCTGCTCCCGGCGCCTCCCCCTCTCCTCCCGTTTGCCCGCCCGCGCCGGTTCTCACGCACCGCCCGCGGCCCACCCCGCCGCTCCCACCCCTTTCACTTCCTCGGTGCTTCAGGATCCGAGCCGGACCGCCGCAAGCCTAGCTTCCCAGCCCCTCCCGCACTCCTGCTTTTCCCCGCCCGCCCTCGGGCGCCGCGCCCCCCACGAAGTTCTCCCTCCCGCACCGCCCCCCGCGAGGACTTCAGAGGCGGTCCCTGGCCGGCCGGCGCTGATTGGCTGTCTCTCCAGCGCCCCGCCCCTGTGCACGCGCAGGAGGTGGGGCGGGCCCCGAAGCGGGCGCGCGCGGCGCGGTCCCGCGGGCGAAGCGTCCGTGACCCGCGTGCCGGCCTCAGCGTCCGGGCCCGGGCGTCCGCGAGGTGGGGGCGGGCGGCGGCGGCGGGGCTGTACCCGGGCTGGGGACTCACGTGGCCCCGAAGGGCCCCCCCCCCCCTTTGCCCCGGCAGCGCTCCCTAGCCGCGGCCAGTCGGGCGTCCCGCAGGGACTGGGAGCTGCCCGAGGGGCCGTCGTCGTCGCCAGCCCGGTAGCCCGGATGTCGCTGCCCCCCGCGGCGGGGCCGCCGACGCTCCTCTAGGCCCCGGGAGGAGGCTCGTCTTAAAGGGACAGTGCCGAGTTCGTGCCGGAATGGGCGGCGCATCCTGCCCTCCGTGCGCGACCCGTGTCCTGAGGGGACGCCGCGGCGCCCGCGCCATGGGCCCCCTCCTCCGGGCGGGGCGCCGTTGGAGCGCGGCGCGCCCTGCCCCGGGACGGCCGCAGATGGGTTTTCTCGGGCCCGAGCCGTGGCCGGTGGCGCCGCGCGGGGCCGGGAGGCGCCGGCCTGTGATTGGCCGAGGCCGCCGTGAATGCAGGACATTGTCTGGTCGCGGCCGTCTCTGTCCCTGCCCGCCGCCCTTCCACAGACCAAGATGGGTGCGGAGCGAGGCTCCGGTCGCCAAGGTGCCCGCGGCCGGGGAGTGCCTTCGATGGTGGGAACACCACAGTGGGAAAACGTAACTTTTACGAGATCACGGATTCTGAGAATGGCAAAAGGTGCTGTTTCAAAATACAAAATCATTCTCAACAAGGAAATAAAATTGTGTTTGATATAAAGGTTTCCTTTAAAATTAAAAATATTAAGGTAATTGAAAAGGGCCGACTGTCATAAAAACGGATTCGTTTTGTCTTCAAGAGTCCTTTAAGACCTATGATAATTCTTCTGAATATCCTTTATGAAATTTTAAGCTGTATATTAATACATATTCATATGTATATGAAATAACTTTGTTCTGGATAGTACAGCCTCTCTGGGTCTTAGTTTCCATATTTGTAAAAAAGACTGGACTGGTAGCTTTCCAAGTTTGTTTCTATTGTTAAAATAACTCTGACTCTAAATCTAGACTTAAACTCCTGACATGTCCTGTGTGTTGGATCACATCTCAAGGTCTTGGAATAAATGAGATCTTTTAAAGAGCCCTCGAGGAGATTTCAGTTCTCAGATCATCTTTGAATGTATGTGGGAGTTATTTAAGTGGAGTTGTAATCTTTCAGTGTGTAATTTTGGAGTAAAGGGAAATGAGAGCAGTGGAGAAATGTATGGAGATCAATCAGTTATTAGTCAATGTGAAGAGCAGGGTTTTCTTTCATCCTAAATAAGTTTTCTAGGTAATGGAACATTATAATAAAGAATAGCCGTCTTTCCTATTTTGTTCCCAGTATCAAAGGAGTAGAAAGATGGCAAAGGAAAGAAGACACATATGAAATAAGAGATACACAAATGGAAAATGTTTGGAGAGTTTTGAATAAAACTAAGTTGCATTTGCTTTTTAAAAAGCTGGGTAGGAGAAATTATTGTAGAGTTAAAAGCAGACTTGTGTTAATACAGATTACCTGTGTGTTTATATATGTATGTATATGTATACATATGCATATATTTAAATCTGTTTTAATTTTTTAAAGATTTTATTTTAATTCCAGTATAGTTAATATACAGTGTTATATTAGTTTCAGGTGTACAAAATAGTGATTCAACAATTTCAGACATTACCAATGTAGATTATAATATATTATAGCTTCAGTTTAATGCCCTCTTCAAAATTAAAAAAAAAAGTCAATGATTTCATTTAATTGAACAATCAACAAGAATTAGAGACTTGGAAATGACAAACAAATGAAGGAAGGAAAACATCCAGAAAACAAGATAAATTTAATGGACATGATTCATTGCAAGAGACATGACCTCATTCCTTATTAGAGGGATTTCCACTAAACCAGATTTGATGTTAAATAAATTTATCGTACAGACTTTCCTCAAAATTATACTAATTTAATATGTTTTTTCATTGTTATCATTGTTGTTTTGTGGTATGGAAAAGGAAAAAAGAGAAGAGATACAATGAAAAATTTAAAACATTGTTGCAACTTCCTTAAATGACAGTTGTTCCAATCTCCTCTACCTCACCCATCATAATATGGGAATAAAAGCAGAAATAATCGGCATAAAGATTCTAGCTGTCTCCAGAAGTGAAACGTGAATAGTTGTGTGGATGTCTGTGAGTGATGCGAATTTAGTTTTGATTACTTAAACTTCTAGAATTTGAATTGTTAATTTCTAGAATTAAACTAATTTTACCTGAAAGTTATTGAATAAATGATTAAAAGTTAGGGATTAAGCTGAGTGAAATAAGCTGTTTGTAATAAACATAAGCAGCAGGTTGTATGATATAGTCTATAAGGCATGAAATGACTAGCCAAGTAAGTTTGAGACTTTTCCAGCAAGTCTTTTCCTTAGGACTTTTGCTTTGGTATTCCATATGTAACTATAGAATAAGCTGTATAGAATCATAATATTTACCGAACACTTGGTATATACCAAGCACTGTTTTAAGTATCTTCTTAGAGGCTCACAAAAATCCTAGGGAGCAGGTACATTATTATCCCCATTTTATTTATTATTAATTAATTAATTAATTAATTAAATAGGATATGTTTTATTTTTTTAAAGATTTTATTTATTTATTTGAGAGAGAGAGCACGAGTAGGGGATAAGGGGCAGAGGGAAGGGGAGAAGCAGACTCTCCTCCGGCTGAGCAGGGAGCCTGATGTGGGGCTCCATCCCAGGACCTTGGGATCTGGACCTGAGCCACAGGCAGATGCTTCATGGACTGAGCCATGCAGGCGCCCCTATTATCCCCATTTTAAAGATGCAGAAAGGTTAGGTAGCTTGCCTGAAGTCAGACAGCTGGGGGGCAGAGCTGGGAATCGGGCCTAGAATCCTGTCTGACTCTGCTCAAAGTCATGTGGCTATGTGTTCTCAATCCCTGAGCAGGCTTAGTTATTTCTATGGGTGTGATTATTAATGCACTTTTGATCAGATTTTTTTCAACAGATACACATTTAAATATTTTGCCCTTTCATCCTTTTATATTTCAGGTGAGCCTGTGGCTGCCGGAGAGCCGTCTGTGCTTAGTTTGCTGCGGAAAGTCAAGCATGTCTGTCACCTTTGAAGAGAAACACCCCCAGAAATTTGCATCTCTATTCTCTTTTAACCAGACATGGACATGGACAGTAGCACATGGGAAAGTCTGCTCACCTTCTGCTTTTCGGTGTTTTCTCTTTCTCTTTGTTCTTTTTCTTCTTTCAGGCCTATGGCTTCATGAGACCCCGAGAATACCGGCTGGCCATGTTGGGTACATCGGGTTGGTGTCCATCCCAGCAGAGGTGCTGGTGTCCATAGTCAGTATCGGCCGAAGGCTGCCAAGTCACTCAGTTCTTCAGAAGACAGAGAAAGGAGGGGAGACCAAGAATGCGTGACAGGAATTTGGGGGTTCAGTAGCATAAAGCTGAGAGAAAGGGCTGGTACTTTCAAGACATTCCCCCCTCCCCTTTCTTCTTCAGTCTGTACCTTCGGCTGAGAAGTGGCACATCCTTCATGACAATCAAGGGTAGAGGGTTGCTGCCTCTCACATTCCCCTTGGCCTTAGAGACCTGGTGCTACAGGCAGTAGACAGGTCATGCTCCTGGGGAGCTCTGCCAAAGTCCGGGGGAAAGGGGCTTTCAGTCTCAAATCATTCCCTGTCATTGCTTGTTCACGGTGCCTGTATCGGGAGGGTTAAGAAATTAGAAATAAAATTATTCTGAAGGGGATCACTTGCGACTCATTAATCCATGTGATTTCTGATGCTCATTATCACTGAAAATTGAGTTGCCTAAGTCTGTTTAACTTTTGTGATTAAGGATCAGCGCTAGGATTTGAGGTTCCAGGGACAGAGAGGGATGAAAGAATTGTGTTCAGCTGTCCTCCGCCCCCACCCGCCCCACAGCCAGCACCCAGTGCTCTTTGTCCTTGGCCAACAAGTGCTTCTCCATCTCCCGTAAAACACTGACAGGGAGGTGGACAGCGCAGCATGGAGCACAGGCCAGCTTTGGGCGACCCGATCCACAAGTCCTGCTGCCATCAGTGTCTTAGTCCCTAAGGCGCCTAGAGGGGCAGGTCTGACTGAAGCCTGGTCTCATTAGCCAGGGGTTGTCTTTTTATTTTATTGTAGTTTTACAGTGTTCCATAACGAAGCTCTTTCCATCTGACATTTTTCTTTCTTTTTAAAAAGATTTTATTTATTTATTTGACAGAGAGAGGGAACACAAGCAGGGGCAGTGGGAGAGGGAGAAGTAGGCTTCCGGCGGACCAGGGAGCCCGATGTGGGGCTCAATCCCAGGACCCTGGGATCATGACCTGAGCCAAAGGCAGACGCTTAACGACTGAGCCACCCAGATGCCCTCCATCTGATATTTTTCAAATCCAAATATTTAAACATCTTATGAATGTGTAAAACTATTTTAAATCTAATAGCAAGCACCTACTCCTGTATCTTTGTACTAGTACTTCTCACTCAACAGGTGGCCACCCTCTCTTCCTGGGCTCCAGCACACAACCAGATTCTGGCACGCCATCTTCCTTCTTTAACCCCTCAGCCTGGGGTGGGGATGGCTTCCCATGGCGGCCGCCCCCGGATGCCTCACCTTGCTGATTCCTTTCACTTGGCCCACACTTCTTAAAAGTCTTTTCCGAAAGTCCAAGTGAATGTGCCTTTCCTTCCCTTCTTGGATGGGGCCTGCCTCAGACATCCATCATGATGTGGCCCCTTATTGATATCTCCAGTTTCATCTGTGGCCTTTCCCTGCTGTGTTTTTTTTCCCCCTCTCACACAGCAAACTACTACTGTCCCCCACACACTTTGACCCTGGAGGATGCTGTTCTTTCTGTCAGGAAAACTCTATGAAGACTTCCTTGGGCTCCTTCCACATGGGCTGCGTCTCTTACAACATTGACCACATTGTATTGGAATTGCTGCTTGGCCCTTTGAAAAATGAGGTTCCTTGAGGTCAGAGCTCACATCATTCATCTGCACATCTTGGTGCTTAGCACCATGCCAAACACATACAAGAACATGATGAAGGAATAGCTAAATACAGATCGCCATTTCCTTTATTGATTCTTTATCCAGATCAGCTGTCTGGCTTTTTCAAAATTTAATCAATTCAAAATTGAAGTTTCATTTATTTCAATCTTGTCAATATTGATGTAGATAAAATGATTGATACCCTCTAATTAACATTTACGTGGTAGCATGCTTTTACTACACTGGATACACCAGATCTCTCAAACCTTGAGTAAATTAATATTTCTAATTCAAGTGTTTACAATTTTTTTTTTTAAGATTTTATTTATTTATTTGACAGAGAGAGACACGGCAAGAGAGGGAACACAAGCAGGGGGAGTGGGAGAGAGAAGCAGGCTTCCCAATGAGCAGGGAGCTGATGCGGGGCTCGATCCTAGGACCCTGGGATCATGACCTGAGCTGAAGGCAGACGCCCAATGACTGAGCCCCCCAGGCGCCCCTCAAGTGTTTACAATTTAAGGTAATCTGATTTCTTCATTAGCAGCGAAGCTTTTTCTTTTGTGTAACAGTCATTTTCTAGGTTATTTATTTGGCAAATGCTGCTTTCCTTGTATCAGCTTTGCCTTAAAAGTAATTCTGTGTTGTACTCCACTACAACTGAGAAGTATCATTTTGCTATTTTTTGCCTGTAAATACAAAAATATCGAGAACAATGTAACAGTCCTATTCTTTTCAAGGCAACTCCACTGTCTATGTGTTTTTGGCAGCAAGAGCAGGGGACGGACCAGCTTCTTCCCGTCCCTTCCCTGTGTTTCTCTAGCTCTAGCAGAGACGTTTTCTGTAATTGGTTTTCCACATTTGCCAAGAGTCTGTTTCCTCTTAACATTCAACATGTTTAACAGAAGTCTTGTAATCGTTCCAAAAATAATAAAGCTGGTCCCAAGCATAAAAATGATCCATACACAACACATTGTTGTTGTTGTTTTTTTGTCGTGGCTTTGGTTTGTTAAGTTCTTTTTAATAATTTTTAGTGTCAAATTATGTGGTAGAAATAAAAAGCTTTTCTTCACAGTAATAAAACCCACTATAGAACTAGAATCAATGATTCTGTGCACCTTGTGCATAGGGTGAGAGTTACCTGCTGAGGCCACCCCGGGATTTATGGCCACCTCAGTGTCCAGCTCTTCTTGCTGGGTTGGAAGTGGGACGTTCCGGTTAAATTTAATGCCGTATCCTCAGAAGGAACAAAAGTGTGTTTGAGCTACCTGCTTCTGATATATTGGGAAGGCTATTCTTAATCTGATGAAATTTGTTTCTCACGTTGTCAAATGCTAACATAAAAAAGCAACACTAGCTTATATTTTATCCACCCCCCCATCACTCCTAGGAGGTGGTTAAGGTGTCCCAAAATAACTTTCTCTGTTTTAATAATTAGATATTGGACAAATGAAAAAAATGTAGATTTCCTTTAAAATTGTTACTTGATTTATTGGTGTTGTAGTCATCATTATTATTACCACCACTGTTATTATGAATGAAGGATCTTTAAGTATTTAGGGCATCTGGACTTGGGAAGAGCTTTAAAATCCCAGAGAGAAATCAGAGGCACGGGCAAGCAGGTAGCTGTGGAGCCGAAAACACAGTCTCTATGATTTTGTGCAAGGCATTTTAACCTTTTCTTCATCAGTGAGTTAGAATCCAAATGATAAGCCCGGGGTACCCCAATGTTTATAGCAGCAATGTCCACAATAGCCAAACTATGGAAAGAGCCCAGATGTCCATTGACAGGTGAATGGAAAAGAAGATGTGGTATATATATGCAATGGAATATTACTCAGCCATCAAAAAAATTGAAATCTTGGGGTGCCTGGGTGGCTCAGTCGGTTAAGCATCTGCCTTCAGCTCAGGTCATGATCTCAGGCTCCTGGATTCGAGCCCTGCATCGGGCTCCCTGCTCAGCGGCGAGTCTGCTCCTCCCTCTCTGTGCTCTCTTTCCCTCTCTCTCTCTCTCTTTCAAATAAATAAATAAAATCTTTAAAAAAATTGAAATCTTGCCATTTGCAACAACGTGGATGGAACTAGAGGGTATTATGCTAAGCAAAATAAGTCAGTCAGAGAAAAACAATTATCATATGATCTCACTTATATGTGGAATTTAAGAACAAAACAGAGGATCATAGGGGAAGAGAGGAAAAAATAAAACAAGACAAATCAGAGAGGGAGACAAATCATAAGAGACTTTTAACCACTGGGTATTGTATAAGACTGATGAATCACTGACCTCTACCTCTGAAACCAGTAATACATTATATGTTAGTTAATTGAATTTAAATAAAAAAAATTTAAAAAACCCAAAAGATAAGCCCGGGGAAATAAAACTAATAACCATGGCGAAGAGATGTTGCCCTCTGCGTCACTGTTAGAGTGAGCATCCCAGAGCAGGCGGATTCTATCCCCCGACTCACACCCATGTTTGGAAACCTGTTTCGTCCTCTCCCCAGATCCACTTGTCTCTGCTGAAGGAGCCCGCCATTTCCCACAGGACCTGGACATACCGTGAGCTAAAGGTCTTGCTGCTCCACGCCCCTCTGGGGTCCAGCAGCATCCATATGACCGGTGACTGCTTTGGAAATGAAGAAGCTCAGGATGAATCTGGGCCTTTGCAATCCAAATCGGCATCTTCACAAGGTCTTTGGGGGACCAAGGGCAACCCTGATATGAGAAGCCTGGCTTAGAGCACCCCCAAATGAAGATAAACCAAGAGTGCCACCCCTGGGGAAGTGGGAACCCCCTTATATATAGTATATTTTACCCCCTTTTATATTTTAGCCTACGTTTCCAGGGAATGGAAAGATTTGGGGTGGGGGGATAAAAAAAGAGTACTCACCTTACTAAGCCTAATCAATACATAAAGTTCAAATTATATGATCACCTTCATGGTAAACAAAATGAAACACTATGGTGGGCACAGGTGTCATGTGGTGGAGAGGTGTTACATTTCGGATCTGTGTTGGTTTCCTAGGGCTGCTGTGACAAAGTACCACAGGCCGGCTGGCTTCAGCGACAGAGCATCCGCTGGTTCCAGAGGCTGGAAGTCTGAGACCCTCGCTCCCTCTGAGTCTCTGGGGATAGCCCTTCCCTGCGTCTTCCTAGCTCCTGCATCCTTGGCCTGCAGCTGCCTGGCTCTGCCCCGTGCCTGGCTCGGCACATGGCACTCTCTGTGGGTGCCTGCCTCCGCACCTGGGGCTCTCTTCCTCCTCTGTGGAAACCGGTGATCATTAAGCCCCCTCTCCCCCAACTCCAGTATGGCCTCACCCACAACGCTGTGCTTTCCAAGTAAGGCCACATTCTGCTAGACCTGGGGATCCCGAGATGAAGAAGACATGGCCTTTGGAGGAGATCCCGGTCAGGAGGGAGACGGGAGAGCAGCAGGAGGGGTTCCCAGGGTGTCTTTCCAGCCAGACTCCAGGCCACCCCCACGATGATTCCGTGGCCCTGGAACCTGGATGTGTAACAAATCCCAAGCGATTCTGACTCAGACAGCCTCACTTGCAATCCCCCGCCAGAGGCATCAGGATCCCAGCAGAGGTCCCCATGCCTCCCAGCTCGCCCAGAGCGGCCCCCAAGTGTGCTTGCTGACAGATGACAGTGTGTGTGTTTGTGTGCACGTGCGCGTATATAAGAATGAATCTGAGCAGGAGACCCTAGTTGTGGAGAAAGCAATCAGGAATTGGTTGTTAGAATACAGGTGACAAGAGCCCTCACTCACAGTGTCATGACAGACACTTTTATTGTGGCGAACTCTATACACTAACCTCAAGCATTTCAAAACAGAGGTGGTTCACTTATTCATCCAATACTTCAGTGCCAAGTTGTACTCAGTGCCTTGGGATTTGGGGGGTTTGCTCTTAATTTAAAAAAATTTAATAAATTTAGGAAATTAATATAACACATTTTGATTTTGCCCATTTTGGACATGTAAAAATTGTCATCATCACAGCAAGGACATCAATTACTTTATTTTACATTTGTATGTATTTTTTTCTGAATAGGTAAAACCAAAATGTACAAAGGATGACGGTACAAAGTGAATGTCTCTCCCACAGAGGTGACTGCTGTTACTTGAGAAAAGCCATTTTAACACCAAAGAAGTAAGAAGGACATAATCTTAGAGAAAAAAGAGAGCTTTTCCCAAAAGGGAACAGTTAGGGGAAAAAATATGTGTATATATTTTTCCTTTTTTTTTATTCATCCATCACTTTTTTCCAAGTATTTCCACACTCCTTTTATGAATGAGGCATTGTTCCAGGTGGGAGGAGTACATCAGAGAACAAAACAATGCAAACACCATTCCCTGCCTTTTTGGACTTACATTCCTGTGGGAACTGAATCTGAAATTGGGACACAGAAGTCCAAGTCATATGAAAAGGGAGAAGCCAACAGAAGCTAAAGGAAGAGGATGTCCCAGCCAGCCAAGTGCCCCCCGGTGACCTCCAGGCGCAAGGGGTACAAAGGTGGACATGAGGTTAGAAATCGCCACCTGCCATGCCCAGGACTGCTCAGAGGATACGCCAGTCAGACCAGGTGAAGGACTGCATGTCTGGGTCTCATCGGCACTTGAGAAGCAGAGCCTGACAATAGAGTTTGATCCAGATGTGAGTACAAGTGCAAGAGATGGGTGGTGAGATGGAAGGGATCTTCAGGAGCAGAGGAGAGTGATTTTAATTTTTTTTTTTTAAAGATTTTATTTATTTATTTGACAGAGACAGAGACAGCGAGAGCAGGAACACAAGCAGGGGGAGTGGGAGAGGGAGAAGCAGGCTTCCCGCTGAGCCGGGAGCCCGACGTGGGACTCGATCCCAGGACCCTGGGATCATGACCTGAGCCGAAGGCAGCCGCTCAACCAACTGAGCCACCCAGGCGCCCGATTTTAATTTTTTAAATAGGGTTTCTGTTCATGCAAAGAAACTAGCTAAATCTGTTTATCATTTGCACGCTTTCTTCTTCATTCTTCCAGTATCTGGGCGTGCCCCTCAACCAAGGTAGCCACTGAGCTATGATAAATTACTGGGTCTCTGCCGATGGCTCTCCGATCAGGACATTGGGTGGGAAGCATCGACCTCAATCTTTACACTTCCTAAAAATTAATAGGCTTTTTTTAAAAAAGCAGTTTTAGAAAAAAAAAAAAAGTAGTTTTAGGGTTTTTTTTTTTTAAAGATTTTATTTATTTATTCATGAGAGACAGAGAGAGAGACAGAGGCAGAGGGAGAAGCAGGCTCCCCGCCAAGCAGGGAGCCCGATGCGGGACTCGATCCCAGGACCCTGGGACCATGACCTGAGCCGAAGGCAGACGCTTAACCAACTGAGCCACCCAGGCATCCCTAGTTTGAGGTTTATAGAAAAGTTTTTGTATATGCCCTCATCCATCCCAATTTCCTCTATTATTAACATCTTGTGTTAGTGTGATAATTTGTTACAATTGATGAATGTATATTGACACATGATTATTAACTAAAGTCAATAGTTTACATTAGTGTTCCCTCTTTGTGGTGTACATTCTGTGAGGGTTTTTTGTTTTTGTTTTTTTTTAAATAATCTCTACAGCCAACGCGGGGCTTGCTCACAACTGAGATCAAGAGTCACATGCTCATCTGCTGGGAACCAGCCAGGCGCCCCACGTTCTGTGGGTTTTGACAAATGTATAATGACATATATCCACCATGGTAGCATCCTATGGAATAATTTCACTGCCCTAAAAATCCCTTGTGCTCTGCCTATTCATCTGTCCTCCCCCTGAACCTCTGACAACCACTGGTCTTTTTACTATCTCCATAGTTTTTGCCTTTTCCAGGATGTCACATGGCTGGAACCATACAATATGTGGCCTTTTCAGATTCTCTTCTTTCACTTAGTGATATACATTTAATGTATATGCTATATGTATATGTAGATATACATGTCTTTTTGTGCTTAAAAGCTCATTTGTTCTTCACACTATATATTATTCCATCATCTGGATGGACCACATTCGTGTTTCCATTCATCCATTATAAGGACGTTTTGGTTGCTTCTAAGTTTTGGCAATCATGAACAAAACTGCCTATAAACTTTCGTGTGCAAGTTTTTGTGTGAACATAAATTTTCAACTTATGTGGGTAAATGCTAAGGAGAGTTATTGTAGGAGCACATGATGAAAAAATGTTTAACCTTTACACTTTTCCTTCAAGAAACTCTTCCCTTTGTGTAAAATTTTGAAGGCAGAAAAAAAATGCAGCATAACATTTTGTCTTAAAATACTATGTTGCATGTAATTTTTTTTCTTGATATGAGGTCGTCAGTTTAGGAAACCGTATTTCACATCACAACACAAAGCTAAAAAATGTTTTTAGCATAACTTCTTGGGCATTTGGCTTTAAAGAATAAACTATTTTTTTAGAGCATTTTTAGGTTCACAACAAAATTGAGGTTCCCATATACCCCTCCCCACATTTGTTTTTAATGCTGTCACTTTTTAAAAAGATTTTATTTATTTATTTGTCAGAGTTGAGAGAGAGAGAGCACAAGCAGGGGGAGCAGCAGAGGAAGAAGCAGGCTCCCTGCTGGGCAAGGAGCCTGATGTGGGGCTCGATCCCAGAACCCTGGGATCATGACCTGAGCTGAAGGCAGATGCTTAACTGACTGAGCCACTCAGGTGTCGCTTTAAAAAAAATTTTTTTTTTTAAGATTTTATTTATTTATTTGAGACAGAGAGAATGAGAGACAGAGAGCATGAGAGGGAGGAGGGTCAGAGGGAGAAGCAGACTCCCCGCCGAGCAGGGAGCCCGATGCGGGACTCGATCCCGGGACTCCAGGATCATGACCTGAGCCGAAGGCAGTCGCCTAACCAACTGAGCCACCCAGGCGCCCCAGGTGTCCCTTTTAATGCTGTCATTTATAAAAATATAGTAACATGTAGATTTATTAATGAAAATGTTGATTATAAAAACCCTACAACTTCTTTTTTTTTTTTTTGAAGATTTTATTTATTTATTTGAGAGAGAGAGAATGAGAGACAGAGAGCACGAGAGGGAGGAGGGTCAGAGGGAGAAGCAGACCCCCTGCCGAGCAGGGAGCCCGATGTGGGACTCGATCCCAGGACTCCAGGATCATGACCTGAGCCGAAGGCAGTCGCTTAACCAACTGAGCCACCCAGGCGCCCAAAACCCTACAACTTCTAAAATTCAAGAGCAATAGCAGTTCACAGAAACAAGTATACACAATGCACACCTGTGTTACATAAGCATCATTTCCTCTGTCCCACCCCCTGTCTTGGTCATCACTCAGTTCCTGTGTAAGCTTGACATCATTTTCCCATGCTTTGCAAGCATATTTACACAAAAGTAGGGTTTTGCCCTTATTTTCACAAAAACGGGATCCTACCATAAATAGTGTCCTGCTAGCATAATTTGTTTTCTTTATGTTATGAACTTTTCAGCTTAGGCATAAAAACTTTATTCTTTAAAATATTTTATTTTTACGCTATCTCCACACCCAACATAGGGCTTGAACTCTCAACCCCGAGATCAAGAGAGTTGCATGCTCCACCAACTGAACCAGCCAGGTGTCCCTAAACCTTATTTTTGTAATGGCTGGAATGTATTCCTTAATCTATCCCTTCTCCTGGTGTGGAAATTTAAACAATTTTGCATTAAAAATCATGTTTAAGTAAACATCCTACATACTCGTCTTTATGCATTTGTGCTAAAACCTCTGTAGGATAGAGTCAGAAGACTAGAATTGTTATCATCTGGTCAATTTACACACACACACACACACACAGTCACTCATATATATGATTTCCCCCCTTTAAATTCCATCAACATTTCATGAACAAGTAGATCCTTAATCCTGAATGTTATTAAGCATTTTTATTTTTTGCTGATTTGAAAGACAAAAATGTGTATCTCTTTGTTTCAACTGATATTTACTGATCTTGAATGTCTTTTCATATGCTTGGAAGCTATTTGTATTTCATCTTTTGTGAATTGTCTGCTCATGTCGTTTGCCTATATTTTCTCTTCATGTAATTTTCGTTTGCACAAGTCATATATTAATATAATATTATGATTTAAAAATTCAGACAGTGTAGAAGTGTAAAGAATTAAAGATAAAAATTCTCCACCCAGAAATTAGTTATCAGGGGCACCTGGGTGGCTCAGTCGGTTAAGCAGCTGCCTTCGGCTCAGGTCATGATCCCGGGGTCCCGGGATCGAGCCCCACATTGGGCTCCCTGCTCAGTGGGGAGCCTGCTTCTCCCTCTGCCTGCCGCTCCCCCTGCTTGTGCTCTCTCTCTGTCAAATAAGTAAATAAAATCTTTTTAAAAAAAGAAATTAGTTATCATAGTCAAAAGTTGGGATGTATTTCTCTAATTTCCTGTGTGTGGGATACATACATATACAATGTGCATATGTGTGTATATATGCGTATGCGATCACAATATATATATTATTCTCCATCACATTTTTAACTTAACAATATATTTTGTATAGGTTTATATATTATATAAATGGTTTTAGTTAATAAGATGCCATATACATCTATATAGAATCCTGATTTTTTTTACCATTATTTAGTATTCCATAAATTTTTTGTCTTTTTCTTCCTTCCTATTTAATGAACAAGTATATACTACTTACTGTGCATAAGGTACCCTTCTAGTGCTTGATAAAAATTAGCCCATTTCATCGTCACAACTATCCCATGGAGTAGATATTACTGAGATCCCCATTTTTTTTTTTTATTTGCGAGAGAGAGAATGAGAGAGAGCAAGAGAGGGAGGAGGGTCAGAGGGAGAAGCAGACTCCCTGCTGAGCAAGGAGCCCGATGTGGGACTTGATCCTGGGACTCCAGGATCATGACCTGAGCCGAAGGCAGTCGCTTAACCAACTGAGCCACCCAGGCGCCCGAGATCCCCATTTTTATCAAAGAAACTAAGTTACAAAAAAGTTAAGTACTTAATCAAGATCACGCTGCTGGTCGGTTACAGAATAGATTAAAATTTGACTTGACAATTCCCGTATTGATAGGCTTAAGTTGTTTCCAATTTTTTGCTCTTTCGCATAGTGTTGCAATAAACATCCCAGGGAGCCAGAGAGAAGCTTGAGTAAGGGAGCGGCAGGAAGTCAGGTCCAGAGGGGCCGAGAAAGTTGGAAGGAGGTGCCAAAACAGGCAGGAGAAAGAAGGGCTAAGGGCACATGATATGATCCATAGACAGTCTCCAGAAAGAACACATCTTTATAGCTTTTCTAAGGAAGGAATAGACCATGGAGCCAACGAAATGCAATTTGTCTTGAGGACAAGGTCAACAAGAGCCAGCCTGCTGGGCAGGCTACCATGTGGAAAACTTGATTATTAAGCCACAAGCGAGGACTCTGATAGTCATTATTTTTCAATAATTAGGGGACTAAATATGGAACAATATCACATTATGTTATCAAGTAGCATATTAATATGATTTTACTCTGTTTACTTGGCAAATACTCAGTATTTGTGGAAAGTTCACTCATATTGAATTGAATGAAATGAATACAGAGTGAATATTTGCTGTTTCTTTTTGGATGACATTTTATAGCTAAAAGAAGAGAAAGGCTATTTTTTAGGATAAGGAACTAAGAGATATATAAAAGAGAAAACAAGCAGTTGAAAAATAAAAGTAGATGAGAAATGATAAAAATTAGTAGAAATTGTGAAATGTCTTAGACTGGTCAAACAAAAAGCAAAATGGGCAGAAGTTTCCTCCCTAAGTTGCACTGAATTTGAAAATGCGGAAGTGGGATTAATTTTAGATTTTGAAAAAACTGAGCTCCTCAAAATTCTATTTTTAGAATGAACATCATTATCTTAAAAGTCCTTGTTGCACAGATAGACATTTCTTGTTCCTGGATGGGAACATTTAATATCACAACAATATCAACTTTCCCCCCAAATAAGCTATACATTAAGCACAATTTTAAAAAATTCCAATAGGGTTTGGAGGGTTTTGGGGTACTTGGGTGGTGCAGTCGGTCAAGCGACCCACCCTTCACTTCCTCCCAGGTCATGATCTCAGGGCGGTGAGTTCGAGCCCCCGAATGGGCTCCCCGCTCCGGGTAGAATCTGCTTAAGATTCTCTCTCCCTCTATGCCTCCCCCATATGCTCTCTCTCTTTCTATCTCTCTCACATATAAATAAATAAATCTTTTTAAAAAAAGAATCTGGGGAGTTTGAGGGGTAGTGGTAACAGAAATGTAAAAATCTGTGACACAATAAAAACATCAGAAACAGGTCCGAATATGCATATTAAATTTTTGTCATCTGAAATTAAAGCATTTAGATGTAATGAGGAAAAGACGAACTGCTTAATAAATGACACAAACCAAAGATTTGGAGGTGGCCCATCAACTTGCAAAAAAAAAATTTTTTTTTAAATAAAAATTTCCATGGTTGGGAATATAGTACAGAAAACAGAACACTCTTGAGGTCCAGTTGGAATATAAATTGGCACATTTCTTTTTTCTTTTCCTTTTCTTTTTTAAGATTTTATTTTTAAGCAATGGCCACACCCAATGTGGGGCTCAAACTCACAACTCTGAGATCAAGAGTCACAAGGTCTGCAGACTGAGCCAGCCAGGTGCCCCCCCTAAACTGATACATTTCTGGAGAGAAATTACATACATAGAATCTTTAAAAATGTCTATACTTTATGAACCAGTGCTTCTACTTCTAAGGATGTATTTTATATTATTTTTAAAATATTTTATTTATTTATTTGACAGAGAGAGAGAGAGAGACAGAGCACAAGCAGGGGGAATGGCAGGCAGAGGGAGAAGCAGGCTCCCCGCTGAGCAGGGAGCCCGATGTGGGGCTCCATTCCAGGACTCTGGGATCATGAGCCGAAGGCAGATGCTTAACGATTGAGCCACCCAGGTGCCCCTACTTCTAAGAATGTATTTTAAAGAAATAATTGTTTATGTGTCCAAAGATTTAGCTATAAGAATGTTAACTGAGTCTTGATTATCCTGTCTAAATTATTTATAAACCTAGTCAACGGAAGGAGAGGAATAGATAAATTATAGCACATCCACACAATGAAGTACTATACAGCCATCAAAATGATGTAGAAAATCAATGAGGTAACATTTATTGAGTACTCGCCACATGCCAAGTAATTTCTAAGAACTTTCCATGTAATGGTGCATTTCACCTCCCCGCCACCCTATGAGGCAGGGCAATTATTACTTCCATTTTATAGATGAAGAACTTGAAGGAGGGGGTCTGATCTCTTGCTAGTAAGTGGTAGTGCCTGTGTCAGAACTAGACGGTGGGACTCCTGAGCTCATACTCCTAATCATTACAATTGAGGAGATTAGGTAACAACAATGGAAAATTTATATAATAGAATAGGTGAAAAAGAATAGTATATGCTGTATGATTCTGTTTTCATAAAAGAACATACGAGTGTATAATCATAGAAAGAACCTGGAAAGAAATACAGTAAAATGCCAAGTCGTTTTCTCTGGGAGCTGGGGTTCTAGGTCATTTGAACAGATGCTGGTGGTGCCTTGGTCCCCACCCCCAAGTCATCACCTGGAGTCCTTTATCACAGGCCATAAGTTTTCTAGTCTCTCTGCTTAAGGGCATGTCTGGTGGTGTACGGGGCAAGCTAGAGTGCTGGGAGCTGATGTCCCCAGAGCAACTCCCTCCAATGACAGAGATAAGGAAAATCTGTGTCCTAAGATGGCTGACTGAGCCAGTGAGAGAGTCTCAGTCCTTGCCCCGGGGCTCTTCCGGGTTCTTCTCCCTGCTCTGCTTCCAGTTTCCTCTCCCTGCCCCGCTTCACGCACGTGCCAAAAGTGCCAAATATGTGGAAGTAGAAGTGCATAAATTGCCGCCTTTGTGCTCAGGGCTCAGACCTTTGGAGATCACTCTCCTCTGAGCCTGCTGGTGTTAAATAAACCTCCGATCCTCCAAGATCTCCGGGTGCTGCTTGGTTCTTCCATCAGGTGATCCTGTCCGGGTTCTGGAACAACAGAAGTCACCCTTTGCTGGGGTGTGTCCTTGTCAGTTTCCCAGAGGGTCCTCAATGGGAAAGAGCCCTGGGGTACACATAGTAGTAATGCATCCAACAATGCACCTTTATTAGCTTTTTCTTTTCTTTTTTTTTTTTAAAGATTTTATTTATTTATTTGAGAGAGAGAGAGAGAGAGCATGAGCTGAGGAAGTGGAAGAGGGAGAGGGACAAGCAGACTCCCAGCTGAGCATGGAGCCCGATACTGGGAGGGGGTGCTCCATTGGCGATCATGACCTGCGCTGAAGTCACACACTTAACCGGGCGCTCCTGTTAGCTTTCTCTCCTCCTCTCCCTATCTCATTTCTTCACGCCCTCACTATGCTCCTGGGAGCACTCCCCAAATTCCTTGCACCTAAATCTTGTCTCAGAGTTGGCTTTGTGGGGAATCCGAACCTGGAGATTAATTTTAATTTTCCACCTTTTGTTTGTTTTCTTTGTTTACTGCAGTAGGCACTGCATTTTAACAAGTTATAAAGGAAGACAGCGTTGTTGTCTTCCTTTACAAAGGAAGGAAGGAACTCCCTGGACTTCTAGTTAAACAAGGTGGGTTGAGCACATGCCTTTATCTCCCTCCCAAGACCTCAATTAATGCCATTATAGGAATAAAATATGCAAATACACAAGGGCAAGGAGGAGAGGAAATGCCACCACCATGTGGACTTGGCAAAGTGAAATGTCCGTGAATAGCTAGTGCAGCTACCACGGAAGGTGGCTCCGTGTCTCCTCTCAACACTGCAGGGCCAGGGGTCCAAACTCCATGGCTCCTCACACAGGAACTGGAGGTTGACGGTGGATGCGGGTACCAAGGAGGGGGTGCAGGCTGGGTTTGAGAACTCTGGGGAGTCACTTATGAGGTGGGGACAGGTGGGACAAGGGATGGTCACTTTTATTATAAGCCTTCTAGTACTATTCGACTTTTTGGAAGCGATGTGCATATATTAGTAATTTTTAAATAAAAGACCGAAGGGATATTTTTATCATTTAGATGTGGGAAAATCAGAACTAGACTGGTGCTGAGTGCCATTAGATAATCCGTTTGATACACACGCACACTTGCTCATAGCAGCAGTAGCCCCGATCGTCAAAAGGTAGAAACAGACCAAATGTCCATCAGTGACTGAAGGACTGAGTAAAGTGTGGTGGACACATGCAGTGGATTATTAAAGTATAAAAAGGCATGAAGTACTGATATCCACTACAATGTGTATGAACCTCGAAAACGTTGTGCTGAATGAAAAAAGCCAGACACAGAAGGCCACGTATTGTATGATTCCATTTATAGGAGATGTCCAGAACAGGTAGATCCATAGAGAAAGAACACAGATTTGAGGTCACCAGGGGCTGGGTGGAAGGGCTAATGGGGATTAACTGCTAAATAGGTATAGAGTCTCCTTTGGGGTGATAAACACGTTTTGAAACTAGATGGGGGTGTTGCATAGACTGTGAGTGTGCTAAATACTACTGAATTGTTCACCCTAAGATGGCTAAGTTTATGTTATGTGAATGTCACCTCAGTTTATTTTTTTAAATTATTTATTTCAGAGAGAGAGAACGAGTGGGAGGGACAGAGGGAGAGGGAGAGAGAGAATCTCAAGCAGACTCCACACTAAGCAAGGAGCCTGACGTGGGGCTTGATCCCACGACCCTAGGATCATGACCCGAGCTGACACCAAGAGTTGGACACTTAACCGAATGAGCCACCCAGGCGCCCCAATGCCACCTCAGTTTAAAAGAAAGAAAGAGGAGTGCCTGGGTGGCTCAGTTGGTTAGGCGTCCGACTCTTGGTTTCAGCTTAGGTCACGATCTCATGATCCATGAGATCGAGTCTCATGTGGGGCTCGATGCTCAGTGGGACGTCTGCTTGAAGACTTTCGCCCTCTGCCCCTCCCTCCAAATAAATCTTGAATTTATTTATTTATCTTGAGGGGGAGAGAGCAGGAGCGGAGGGGAGGGGCAGAGGGAGAGGGAGAAGCAGACAAGCAGACTCCCCACTGAGCAAGGAGCCCGACTCGGGGCTCGATCGCAGGACGCCAGGATCATGACCTGAGCTGAAGGCAGACGCTTAACTGACTGAGCCACCCAGGCGCCCCTAAAATAAATCTTTAAAGAAAACAAAGAAAGAAAGAAAAAAGCATTCAGGCTGAGAAAGGAGTGGGAAGGCAAGAAGAATTGGAAAGCACAGCACCACTGCACATGTCCTGTTCTGAGAAATTTTGTTATGCGGACAGGTGATGCTGCCTGACAGGATGACACGAGGCCCTCGGAACAGGCCACCCCATGGGACATACACGTGCCAGCCCCATGAAGTCATGGAAGCTCCAGTGGCAAAAGGCCTGGGTTCCAATGGGTCTTGATTATGTAGTGAGATATTTGGAATCAGGAAGAGAATTCCATGTGCTGAGTTTCTGTCTAGATTTAGTAGACACAGATAAACATAAGAAACGTTAAGGGAGCATTCTTTAAAATCTCTTTACCGCCAGCTTGTTCATGTCCCATGTGGTGTTCCCCAAATCCCAACTTCATCATAAACACATATTGGGCCGATTAAAGGGCTAAGTGCTTCTCTTTCTTACTCTCTAAATCCATAATCCACAACCACATTTGTTATGCTCTGAATTGTGTTCCCCCACCTCCCAAATTCATATGCTGAAATCCTAACCCCCAGTACAGCCAAATGTGACCTTATCTGGAGATAGAATCTTTACAGCGGTAATCTAGTTAATTTGAGGTCAGAGGGGTGGGCCCTAATCCAATATGTCTGGTGTCCTTATAAGAAGGGGCAGTGGGGATACAAAGACAGACACAAAGGGAAGATGATGTGAAGAGACACAGGGACAGAGAGCCTTCTCCAAGACAAGGAGAGGGGCTGGGAGCAGATTCTCCCTCACCAGCCCTCAGAAGGGACCGATCCTGTGACATCTTGATTTCAGACTTCTAGCCACCAGAACTGTGAGACAATGCATTTGTTGTTTAAACGACACAGTTGTTTTTTTTTTAAGTAGGCTCTACACCCAACATGGGGCTCAAACTCACAACCGCTGAGATCAAGGGTCACATGCTCCTCTGACTGAGCCAGCCCGGTGCCCCTTAACCACACAGTTTTTAATACTTTGTTATGACAGCCCTAGCAAACTAATGATACATTATCTAATAATCCTTGCTTTTCATCCCTAATGTGCCCATTGTCTGCATAAATACTTTGCCCATCGTGCAATGGTTGGTCAATGGAATAAACTCACTGTCCTTTTATTTATTTATTTTTAAAGATTTTATTTATTTATTTGAGAGCGAGCGAGCACAGAGGGAGAGGGAGAGAGAAGCAGTCTCCATGTTGAGCAGGGAGCCCGATGCAGGACTCGATCCCAGGACCCTGAGATCAGGACCTGAGCCGAAAGCAGACGCTTCACCGACTGAGCCACCCAGGTGCCCCCTCCATAAGTACTTTTATTATACTAATTGCAAGGAGGATGTTGGAATATCCGTGCTTTCACATGAGTCAGCAACTGCTTGAGGGAAAGCTGTAACGTGGGGTCTGGCTGATTTGTACACCAGCGGCTCCCAAGTCACGCACGGGCCTGTGTGGAAGGACGCAGCAGAGGGTTGACTTTGTGGCCCTTTACCAAGTTCCTGTAAATGTGAATTCTGGGCAGCAGCTCCTGGGGACTGGAACGTGGCTATTTTAATGCAAAATTAATTGTCAGATATAAGACTGCACGGGCCTGCTCTCTGGTGACCAGCTCACCCTCTCGCTAGGTGCCGGCCTTCTGTCCTCAATGCTCCGTAGTTTGCTAGCAGTATTCGCATTATCATAAATGATTTCAGCATCTCAAACCCAAAACACAACCCTCTTGGTCAGCTCCCACCCACTTTGTAATTTTCTTTTTCTCATTTATTTCCACAACAGGAAGGACATCGTTTCTAGAATTTGTGTGTTATCTCCACTTGCATCTCATCATCATCCCCATCGGAAGATCAGTTGTATACCTTTGACACCCGCTTCGATTTGGAGCTGAATTCCGGGCGTAAGGAATGATAAAAATTCTATCTTTAATGTCCTATCAAGAAAGTCCTATGTGTTCTATCTATGATTTTTCATGCAATCACTGTGTACAACTATTTCATGTTCTGAAGAGCATCTTGATGTGTAGATTAAGTTAATTTGAGGCAGGAAGATGTAATATCCCCGGAGACGAATGTTTCTCTCAGGATGAGCTCTACATGTGCTGGGCCGTGAAGCAGCTCTTACCCTCCCATAAGCCCATGGATTCAACGCGACCTTTTACTGAAGGTACACAGACAACCCATCCAAAAATGTCCCCATTCACAAGATATAAGGGGTGTGTCAATTTCCTAGGGTGGCCGTAACAAAGGGCCACAAATGACGTGGCTGAAAATAGAAATATACTCTTTCACAGTTCGGGAGGCTAGAATAAGCTCCAAGTGAAGATGTCAGCAGGGCTGTGCGCCCTCTGGTACATGGAGGGGAACCCTTCCTTGCCTCATGCTAGCTTCTGCTGGTTTGCTGACCATCTCTGGCATTCCTTGGTTTGAGGCTGCAGAACTCCAGCCTCCACCCTCACCGTCACATGGCCTTCTCCCTTGTGTGTCTCTGTGTCTTCACATGGCTACCTTCTTCTCAGGACCCTGGTCACACTGACTTCATTTTAACTAATTAACATCAGTAAAAATCCTATTTCCAAATAAAGACAAATTCTAAGGTACTGGGGTTAAGACTTGAGTATATTCTTTTTTTTTTTTTTTTTTTTTTTTTAAGATTTTATTTATTTATTTGACAGAGAGAGACACAGCAAGAGAGGGAACACAAGCAGGGGGAGTGGGGGAGGGAGAAGCAGGCTCCCCGCAGAGCAGGGAGCCCGATGCGGGACTCGATCCCAGGACCCTGGGATCATGACCTGAGCTGAAGGCAGTCGCTTAACCAACTGAGCCACCCAGGCGCCCAAGACTTGAGTATATTCTTTTGGGGGTGGGAGGGTGCAGTTCAACCCATTACTAGGGGATAAGGTAAACCTCACAGATTTGAGGGCAACTCATAAGGCAGCATTTTTGTTTAATGAGACATCTTATTTACAAGAACGTGCGTAAAACATATAAGCATAGTTAAAAAATCATAAGGCAAATATCTATGTAACCCCCACTCAGGTCAAGAAACAGAATCTTGCTAGTACCAGAGAAGCCCCCTGTGCACCCCTCCTTTGTCAGAACCGTCCTCCAGGGTCCATCCAGCATCCCACATTGAATTTAGTTGTCATGGCTCCTTGAATCTGTGACAGTTCCTCATTCTTTATCTTCCATGACCTTGATATTTTTGAAGAATGCTAGTCGTTTTTTAAAAAGATCTTATTTATTTGAGAGAGAGCAGGAGTGGGGAGAGGAGCAGAGGGAGAGGGACAAGCAGACTCTACCCTGAGCACAGAGCCCAACATGGGGCTCGATCCCAGGACCGACCTGGTGCCGAAATCAAGAGTCAGAAGCTTGACTGAGCCACCCAGGTGTCCCACTAGTCACTTATTTTGTAGGACGTGCCAAAGTTTGGGTTTGTCTTGAGGTTGACGTTATACATTTTTGGCAAGAGTCCCACAGAATCATGCCCTTCTCAGCACATCCATCAGATGGTACACGATGTCCTCACATCTTATTGATCATTTGATGAAGGAGGTGTCAAGTTGGCTAACCACCAAGTTAGTATTCTTCCGTCTCCAATAATATCTTGTGGGGATACAAGCAGACTCTACCCTGAGCACAGAGCTGAACCTATGTACATATCTTGTCATTCTTTTGCCCACTGCATTTAACATTCATTAATGATTCCTATCTTTAACAGTTACTGTGTTTTTGAGGATTTTGTTTACATCACGCCTTCTAGCTCTATTAATTGGTATTCTACTGTAAGGAAAGCTGTCTCTTTCCCTCATTTATTTATGCAAGTATTCACTTATATCATGGATGTTTGGTTGCACGGTTTACAATTGATTGCTAGCATTGAGTTATTTTTTTCTTTTTTTTTTAAGATTTTATTTATTTATTCATGAAAGACAGAGAGAGAGAGACAGAGGCAGAGGGAGAAGCAGGCTCCCCGCGGAGCAGGGAGCCCGATGCGGGACTCGATCCCAGGACCCTGGGATCATGACCTGAGCCGAAGGCAGACGCTTAACGGACTGAGCCACCCAGGCGTCCCGAGTTATTTTTTTCAAAGCATTCCAGATTTGGCCATCAGAAGCATTAAGTTGGCTCCTGAGTCCCTTGTCATGCCCCCCTTTCCATCCCCACCATTTTATGAGCACTCCCTTTTTTGGCATCACAGATATTCCGGACTTGTTTTATGACTTCCCTGCCCCAGCCCTGGAATCAACCATTTCTCCAGGGTGCCCTAGTTCCCTTTATAGAAGGTATTTAGAAACCAGTATTTGTGTACTAGGTGTACTCACTGCTGCTGGGGTGTCTTTACTTTTAGGCCCTTCTCTCAGTGGACAAAACTAGGAAAGGTATATGTATATTCTCACTCATCCGTCTGTATTTATCAAAGCATCTGTACATATAAAAACCTCCTATTTCAATCCAACACCACAGGGTTCATTCTAGTCTTTCTCAACTTTTGTGACTCCTTTTCTCCAATAATGAAAACCTGTTTTCATTATGGATCTTTCATTATCCACAGTATATTTATTTGCTCAATCCAAATATGCTAAAGGTGTTTTTAGAATTGCTAACCCATAACCCTTTACTACCTACAGTATAATTGTGTATAGTTTGTTATGTCTTTAGCCTTATACAGTCACATCCTGTTCTCAAAGTTGCTGGTTGTATGCTAGTTTTCTTTCCTGTCCCCTTCAGTGTGGTAATGTCACTCATTTGTAATATAGGCAGGTTCATTCATTACTTTTTATTTCATTTTGAGTTCCCTGAACACCATGGCTGGTTTCAATTATTTTTGGACTACGGAAAACACTACTATGGTTCTGAGTCAGAGCTAAACAAAAATGTATACTGAAAAAGGGGTCACTTGTCCCAAATACCCCATTCCCAATCCTCCTTACTTTCCACACTGAACCCACTCACCCTCTGTAGGTAAACAGTCTCATTAGTTTCTATTCTTGCCGTGTTTCTTTACACAAATGAGCAGATACATGCATATTTTCTTATATTACCTTTGTTATATCATGGTAACCTGTAGACACCCTTGCACTTTGCTTTTCTCATTTAATATATCCTGGATATGATGACATCAATTCATAGAGCTCTTCCTCATGCTTTGTAAGCTGTGTAGGACTCCCTTGGGTGGATGTACCATAGTTTATTCACTCACTCTATGTGTAGACATTTAGAGCATCTCCAATAATATTGCAGTGAGCAACTTCGTGCATTATGCGTGTGCTTTTTGCACTGTTGGAAGGTTATTGTCGGGGTATTTTCCTAGAAGTGAGATCGCGGGGTCAATAAGTAAGTACATTTTGGTTTTCTTAGGTATGACCAAGTTCCTCTCCAGGCAGTACTAGTTTGCACTTCCACTGGCAACATGAGAGTGTTTCGCCAACAGAATGTGTTGTCATACTTTAAACTTTTCCCAATCTCACAGGTGAGAAATGTTATGTTTTAATTTCTGTATGTTTGAATTTTTATATTTTAGGGATATTTCAAAATCTTAAGGGTGAACTTTTTCCTTTTTTTTTCTTTTCCTATCAGGATTTTGGTCCTTTGTCCTTCAACTTTAGTAGGAGTTGGCCTCATGACATTAGAAAGCTTATGAGGGGCGCCTGGGTGGCTCAGTCAGTTAAGCGTCTGCCTTCAGCTCAGGTCATGATCCCAGGGTCCCGGGATCGAGTCCCACATCGGGCTCTCTGCTCCGTGGGAAGCCTGCTTCTCCCTCTCCCACTTCCCCTGCTTGTGTTCCTGCTCTCGCTATGTCTCTGTCAAATAAATAAATAAAATCTTAAAAAAAAAAAAAAGCTTATGAATACTGAAATATACACACTGGCCCTTTAAAGTTCCCCATCATGACTTCAACCAAGTTAAGTACTACTATCTAGTAAATACCAGTGTAATATGAAACCTACCATGGGGCTAGTTTCCATTTTCATTTGAACACCAAAGCACATTGTAAACTCTTTTTTCCTAAGAAACTCAGGTTGGTATTTGTTTGTCTCTTTGTATAGTCAATTCTTATTATGAAGTAACATTTTCTTTATATTATTTTTTTTAGCTTATATAGTCAAACCCTATCCTGTCAACCTTAGTACTGAGCTTCGAAAGGGTTCCATTACCTGAGAGATTTGTAATGTGTTCCAAAGCCAGACATAAATCATTGAGTGATTAGACACATTTTGGTATCATTTACATTCCCACTCTCTTGACTATGAGAAGATAAATAGGGACTATTTTCCTGTTAACAGGCTATTTTAAAATTAAAAACAAACTGTGTATAAAGATTCAGTTCAGCTCTCATGCTGTTTGGATTATGTATCAAATTATATGCTACTCTTTCAAAAATTTGCTTCTGATTCAGTTGTCTTAAATTCAGAAGACAAATAGTTGACGCTCTGTCTTTATGAGGATTATGACTTTGGAATGTTACATTGGTAAGACATTAAAAGTTGTATTTAGTTTTTTTAAGGACTGATTTTCTAGCTCTTACATGTGTTCACAGATGCTGCAAAAATTGATCAAATATTAATTAAAGACTCAATTATGGTATTAAAGATTCAATTATAGGTGCCGATATTATAGTATTTATGATAGGGCTAATAAAATGAGCAAAGAGGAGAAACCAGACACTAACACTGCTTTGTCAACCGACGTAGTAAAGGACTCATCACACATATTCCTTAACGGTAGATGAGATTTGTGGAGAAAGTGGTAATGAATTATAGAGAAGTCTACTACTCACCCCTGCTGCCCAAGACGGAAGCGGATTAAGATTGCTGTGGGAGGGGCTGTAGGAGAGCTCCATCTTTCCTTAGGGTATTAAAATACACGTGCTAGTCTGCTGTTGTTTGTTTTTACCATTTGTTTCTCCTCCTATACATGATTTATAAAAGAATTACGGGAGATGGCATGGAAAACAAACACACTGAACTTTTGGAAAAGTTAACGGTGGCTTAAAACGAACAATTTCCAAAGAATCATCCCCTTCCCGGGATAGAGCAGAACAAGTCTTAGTCGTTCAAACTTTTTCTACTCATCATTAATGACAGTGAATGGTAAGATCAGTGAATTTTATATGACCACTTTAAGGAGAGACAAGTTTATAATAACAATACTCAAGAAACTTGATTTCCTCTCACCTCTCCCTCTGGCCTCCAGGAGTTCGTTAAAACAAACTTGAGATAACATTAGGTGTTTTCCCACAAGAGTAACGGCAGAGCTTTGACAGAGTATTGCCGAATCTTCAGGGAAGACCCGCAGAAGGTTGAAGTCAGTGAGTGAACTGAAAGGTGTTTCATACTTAGAACTTCTTTATAAACCCTTCTCGTAGTTTGAATGCGCCTTTGTGCTGGTTTTGAGAGGTAGGAAATACTTGCTTACATCATCAGTCACAAAAAGAATTTCAATATTGTGAAGAGTTTGATCACATTTAAACAAAGTTTTTAAAAAGGGTGTTAAACAGGCTGACCCTTTAAAAAATATGCTCAAATAAATACATGTGGACGGACTAAAAAAATGATGTGGTCATAATAAAAAAGGAACACTTTTATACATAGGATTTTATTTTGCACTGCTGTAACAATTTCATTATAGACCAAGGGAGAGGGAGAAAAAAAAAAAGGATAAAACCACCACACCGAGTAAATTACTAAAGCTTTTCTACTTTTGACAGGATTTTCCATCTGGTAGATTTATTGTCAGATCCCCTTCAAAACAGACAAGATGCTTACCATATTTTAAAGATTACAGGTTGCCACTGAAAGAAAAATTTTACACAGTCACTGTACATCAAGGTTGAAAAACTGTCCTGCATGAAAAATATACTTAGAAATCATGTGAATAAAAGCAAAAGAAAACATTATTGTGTTTAAGGAAAGATTAAAGTCCTCATAATGTGCCATCTAAATGTGGACATTCATTCTTCTTGGAGTCGCTTAGGTGTAGGGAGTTCTTGCTTCTGCCCATTTCACTCATTATACTGTGTTTTTACCCAACAGTATTCATTAAGGCAAACAAATCCTTTTCTGAAGAGGTCTTAAAGAAATTGTGGACATATAGCAAACTTTTGGCATTAAAACAGGTTAACACATACATAGCCTTTAGTAATGTACATTAAGCATATTTTCTTGGACTAGTGACAAGAAAAGATGAACATGCTTGTTAACAATGTCAAAAAGTTTAAAATTCAGTGTCCAAGCAATTCCTAACAATGCTTCTGTAGCTTTAAGCTCTAAACAGTATAGAATTTATGCAAATGCATTAAAGAATTCAAGCTTGGCAAATTACACCCAAGCAGGTTAAACTGTATATACAGAAAGGAAATGATAAATACAGAATTAAAAGAGTCCTTCTGGTTTTCCTTATAGCCTTGGAAATTGACAAACTTTTTGAGGACAGTTCTAGAATATTAAACAGTAGGTCACCACAGGTGTGAAACCTAACCACACAAACTGATTTAAAATACTCAAGATGACTTTGTAGTGTTTTAATACAGTTTTCAGTTCGTAGGTAAGGGCACAAGACAACATTTAACAAAAATAATCACATCAATTGACCTAGAAATCAAATGCAAATAGATATGAATACAATCTCCAAAATCTGTCTTTTTAAGTGAACATTAACCATTTATTCAAAGTTATACAAGAATTTGAAGGATTAAGAGTCTCCTGTGACATAAAGCCATTTCAAACAGCTTCACGTCTCAGCTGAGCAGGAGGAGAGAGCGAAAGAGGAAGTGAGTGGCCGCATCTGGGCAGCGAGACAGTAAAAACGGGCTCAGCAGCAGCCCCCCCCAGCCTGTTGTCCTCCCTGATTGCCGGCGTGTGTGGCGTTCGTAGCAGCGTGCTGAGGGCCGATTTTAATGCCGTTCGCCTGGAACAGAAGGGGGAAGGGATAACAAATGTTAACCGGACCCGTCCAACCAGTACAGCTTCACTAAATCTGAAGAACTCCGCTGAATTCCTTTTGTGTTAAAAAATTGTTTTCCCCCACTGAATTCTTCATGATGTAATTTCTACCAAACGACTTGGGAAAAAAAAAAGACACGAAGCAGATTTTTGCGACAATTACAACCGTATCTCTGAGGGCATGTTCCTTCCTTGTAAAAATAATACCGTGGAAATCCTTCTGAAAAGATTTCTTTACCCTCCCAGGCCGTCGTGCGTGGACAGAGCCCGGGCAGTGCCACTTCCCCAGGCGCTCTCACGATGGAGACGCTGTTTAAAACGATGACTGCAAGTAATCTCTAAAGGATAAAAACAGGCCCAGCCCTAGGCCGCTCTAATACGACGTCAAAGCTTTTCTCGAGACAGCGCTTCTGGTCCATGTTGAATCAGCTGTGCAGGCTGAGGGCATGTGAGTGTTCTGTGTCATCAATAATTTCTATGATCCCCAAAGACATGGCAGCTTGCCAAGAACCCACACACAGAGTAGTGCTTTCATTCATCAAACTCACACTTCTGTCTTAGCCCTCACTCCCTCGAGTGGGTTTTACCTACAAATACAACACTTTGAGAAAAGTAATACAGTAGCTTCAGAAATTAAGCTCTTAAGGAAACTTTACGTCACAGTAAATCTCAGATTTATAGCGCTTGGCAGTTGCTCTGCAACAGTAGTAGCCTGGGGGTTTCTGGCACTCGCTCGGTATTGACAGCAGCTGATGTGGTTTCTTTTCGCTCTTTTGACTCCTCTTTAATAAAAAGCATGCCCTATGGCTCATTGGTTTTGCCCCCTCTGGGCTGGTAGCAACTTCTTGAGGAATCAAGGAGTCAGACTTGGCAGCAGGCCAAATAAATCGCACGGCCTGTTGGCTCCTGACAGCGCCGTACAATGGAAGCTGCACGGCGCGCAGCAAAGCAGTCAGCTACTATATGGAACCCGACAGCAACGCTGAGCGTGCCCTCGTACACACACGCCCGATCGCTGCTCCGTTGACCCGGCCTTAGTCTCTGCACGGGGCTGGCTTCAAAGTAACTCCGAATCTACTGCCCTAGGAGCCCAGGAGGTAGGATTTAGAAAACAGAGTACTCCAAATTAAAAGAGATGAGAAGATCAAGCACTTTTGGGAAACCTTAGGCAAAACTGTTGTTTCAGCAAAGAATACTGAGGCAGGTATCCAAGAGCCTCGTGTATGTACAGGCCAAGAGCCACACATGCAATAAGGGATCCCTAACGCCAGGCATTCCTAATCGCGACTGTGGGAGGGTTAAGGGCTTTCTCTTGGAAGCAGTCTCAATACGGAATGGCAGAAATATCTGTGTCAAAGCAAATAATCTACCATACATCCACACAAACATTCTGAAAGAAATCAATGCAAGGTGGGGATTTAGGTCAGAATGATAACCTTTGGTAAACACTCTGAATTACATGCTTCAAAGCTTTACATTTTATCCTAATCATATTCATCAAGTAATTTTACAAAGGAGACACAACCAAAAACAACGCCAATTGCCAATTATATATATTAGTCTCCTGAAAACATGCTATGCTATACTGGGAGTCATTTCCAAACTGGTTATTTCTCTCTTTCATACTAGACAACAGAGAGAGCATCCTGCATTAGTAACAT